CTAGCAATAATAAAGAAATAGAAGAAAAAAGAAGTAATCCAGACAACAAAAGTTTCTAAAATCGGGTCATAAGACGTTTTTTGCATCTAAAAGATGATTTAAACACGTCTTATGTCACAATTTTACACTTTGTATTGTTCGAGAATACAGAAATACTTATTTAATTCTGGCAATATTGGCAATACTGTGACATTACTGATAATAAAATAAAAATATTAGGAATAAGCAGTATTGCTGGCAATACGAAAATAATACTAACATTACAATTATAGTAATGCTAGCAATAAAATATTGTATTACCATAATTAGCAATCATTGTACATTTTTTAAGCAGTGGTTGACCCTTCGGTTTTGAGTAACATTAATATTTGGGCATTCTTACGTAATTGATCATCAAATTGCGTTCATGAATATCTCATTTTCGTAGATTAATGCGCAGCACCCTCGTGCCACACGTCCGTCTCACCCTCGCCCCGTGGTCGCCGAGCGCATACCGAAGTGATGACGTAGTCGACCACGGCGCCGCGCGGCCCGCTCCCCCACGCTTTTCGTCGCGCGATCCGCTCCCCCTCGCTTTTTGTCGCGCGATCCGTCCCCTCGCTGCTCCGCGGGCGCCGTTCAGATACCCAATTATTGCGTAAAAAAATATTCACGGTTTATTCTCAATTATTCGTATTTTACATGATTTTGACAAACGGGTATCGCCGTACATTTCGCGTTTTGCTTCGTGGCATCTCTAGCTCAATCTTCTTTTAAACGTAATTAGTAATTATTTGCGTGGGATATTTTTGATATTCCAACATTATGTCTCAATTTTCATTATTCCTTTTAATGATTCATACTTAAATAAAGATTGATAAAATATTATATATATATGTTCTTTATATAAAGATACATGCAAATTTTCTTAATATCGTGAAACAATTTGCGCAAAATACGCTTCGGCTAAAATTACTAAATATCTTGTTAATCATTATTTAACTTTTTAGTTAATAAATTAATTTAAGACCCTACTATTACTGCAAATTATCTGTGTTTCAGAAATTCTTTAAACTTACGTATGCTGATCACGGCTCGATAAAATAACATATGAATTATATAAAATAAAAAACATAAAATAAGTTTCAGAAACGTAATTAAAATACAAAATCGTAGAAATTAGTAAAAGATAAATAGGACTTGTTTAAAATAAAAAATATAAAATAGTTTTTGGAAATCTATATAAAATATTAAATAAGAAATAAGTCAGAAGCGTAGTTATTTAAAATAATGAATATTATTCGTATAAATAATTTTTTAAATTTTTCATTTAAATTGTATACTTTAATTTTCGTCGCTTTTACAAGTATATAAAAATTTTTTAATGATTTTTGCGTATATCTTGACATTTTTAGAAAGTATTTGTAAAGTTGTACTTTTATAACAAATTATGTATAAATTATTACAACTAAATATAATTAATAAAATGGGACGTATGTACTTTTTCATACAAAAATGTAAAACTCCGAAACAAAAAATTTAAAGGAAAAGTATATTTCAATATCTTAAACTTGATATTTTTGTTTCAGAGTTTTACATTTTTGTATGAAAAAGTACATACTTCCCATTTTGTTAACTATATTTAGTTATAACAATTTATATATAATTTGTTGTAAATATACAACTTTACAAATACTTTCTAAAGATGTCAAGATATATTTAAGAACCATTAAAAAATTTTTATATACTTGTAAAAGCGACGAAATTTAAATAAAAAATTCAAAGAATTATTTATACGAGCAATATTCATTATTTGAAATAACTACACTTCTGACTTATTTCTTATTTAATATTTTATATAAATTTTCGGAAA